AACAAGTTCACCCTTCCATATTATACGCGAAATACGTTACTGTTTTCACGCTAATGAAAACAGTATTAATGAATACAATAGCTTAAATACATCTAATAACCACATAAAAGATATCTATAATCCGTAATATAGCAAAAAGTATCTATAAATGGCTAATTACACCTAAAAGATGGTGCGTTATGAAAAATTCTCTTAAATGAAAGATATTGAGTAATAATAGTATCACATAATAGTATTATGTCACATAAGTAACAAAACTCCTTGTTTGGTCTGATTGAAAATGGCCCCAGCATGGCAAAGTTGTATATCAAATTCGCAGCATGTCTCTCTGAGTGACTTTAGTAGGAATTTTGCATTTTCTTACTTTACCGCATCAAGCACTGATTAAAATACTCCCCTAGTTGGATACCTGATGTTAAATTTCTCATATATCTTACAAATATTACTTCCTAAAACAAATTTCGAAATATATTTCCTGGATTATGAAAAGACCACTGCCATTGATTAAAAAGAAAAGGATAAAAACAGAAGGGTATCCTAGGTTTATGAATTTTTAGCTTTAAGTTAATACTAGTACTGTTGCTAATTAATATTTTCTTGTGTTTTTTTTATTATTTAGGACATTACTGTATTTTAGTCACAAATGTCGGTTTTTCTTATGATCTTAGAAAACTTTCAAATTTTACACCCCAAAAAGTGGAAATGAAAAAAATATGATACTGCTACACTTTTTAAATAATGATAAAAGTCTAAAATAGTTTTTAAACGAATATTTCGTACTTTCCACCAATATTTGTACTATTGTAAGAGATAAAAGAGTTATTTTCTTTAATAATTAAAGTGATAGCTTGTTTGGCCAAGCTTTTAAAGTGATAGCCGGGTTCTGCTTTGGCGAGTAGTGGAGGCGAGGACAAGTATGCCTTTAGTTCTCCTAAGGCCTCGATGCTTTCTGAATTACACTGGAGCCCGTTGTCTTTTTTAGCACGTTGAAGAATTTGTGGCATTTGTCGGAGGATCGTGAGATGAACCTCGACAAGGCAGCATTACGGTCGGTCAGCTTTTGTACCTGTTTCTTGTTTGTCAATACTTCGGGTATTCCCTCGATGGCTTTGATTTGGTCGAGATTGACCTCGATGTCTCGTTGTGACACCAGAAAACTGAGGCATTTGCCCTAGGTTAACCGAAGGCACACTTTTCGTAGTCGATGTGGTCTTCCTTCCTTTTTGATTTGACCAACATATCGTCTATGTAAACTTCCATTATTTTGCCGAGTTGGTCCTTCAACATCTTGGTGACCAGTCTTTGATAAGTCGCCGCTGCATTTTTCAACCCGAATAGCATGACCCTGTAGCAGTACGTTCCTTGGTGGGTGATAAATGTGCTCTTCTCCTGGTCCTCCTCCTTCATGAGGATCTGATTGTAGCTTGAATAGGTGTCCAAGAAACTTAATAACTCGTGTCCCGCTGTTGCATCGATGAGCTGATCGATGTGAGGCAACAGGAAGGAATCTTTCGGACAAGCTTTGTTCAAGTCCGTAAATTCCACGCACAAGCGCCATTTCCTATTTTTCTTTTTCATTATCACCACATTGGCGACCCATTGGGGATACTTAGACTCCCGAATGGAGTCGTTGGTGAGCAATTTCTCTACCTTTTCGTGGACGACCTCGTTGATTGCGGCGTTAAAATTTCTTCTGACTTGTCGTACTGGTGGGTATAGTGGATCGATATTTAACTTGTGCGTGGCAATGTCTTTTGGGATACCTGGCATATATGCATGGGAGAAAGCAAACAAATTTACATTGTATTAAAAATCTATGAAATTTACCTAGTTCTGAGAGTTTATGGCCGATGTAGGCCTTTTTGTTGTGGTCGATGTTGTCTATTTGTACGGGGTCGAGGTCCTCTATCGTTGACCCTGTGGCTTCCACGATGTTAGGATCCTTGATGACGTTTTTTTGTTTGTAGAGATTGGGTCCCGACTTTGGTAATTGCTATGCTTCCAAGCTCATTCCTTTAACTGTTGAGTGTATGTGTGTAATCTTGGGCGATGCGGTAGCACTCTTAGATTGTGCGATGCTCGCTTGTGATGCTGAATATCCCCCACGGAGTAGGGAACTTGATTACTTGGTATAGGCTGGACGGGATTGCTTTCATGGCGTGTATCTAGGGTCGCCCTATTATGGCGTTATAAGTTGTATCCTGGTTCATGACATGAAACGTTGTTTCTAGGGTGACGCCTCTGGCTAGAACGGGCAGCGTTGTTTCTAGGGTGACGTCTTTTCCTCGAACCTCATTTGTGGGAGAACTCGAGGGTGGATAATACACGCACCGCTTCCGTCGTCTACCATTATTCTTTTTACATCAGTATCTGAAATACGTAAAGTAATGACGAGCATCGAAGTGAGGAAAAGTCAAACAGTTGGTATCTGACTTATCGAAGATGATACTATCTTCGAGGTCATCATACCGTTCGTGGGTGATCGACCTCTTCAGTTTATGTGTGGTGGTAAACTTCACTTGGTTGCTTGCTGCTTCGTCGCCTCCACCGATGATCATTTGGATAGTGCGGGTGGGGGAGGGGGCTTTGGAGGGTCTTGGTGTTATTGTCGTTTGCGACCAAAATTGGCTCTTCCTCGGTCACTCATCAGCTCCTTGCCGTAGGGCTATGCAGTCTTCGGTTTTGTGACCCCGGAGAGAGAGCTATTCGAGAGAGAGGAAAGGGGGGACTAAGGATCTCACTACACTACTTTGATCAAACCTTGGAGTTTCATAAAAAGGAACTTTCTAGAGCTTCAAAAAGGTAAGAATTTCTTCCCCCAAATCTTCAATTTAGGGTTTGGGTTGATTGTGGGTGGTGAGGGTAGATTTATCACATGCATGAGCTAATAGAGACTGTGGGAAAGTTGTTGAACCATCTTGGGTGGTTTTGTTCTTGAATTAGTTTAGGATGTCTCTTTGGCCGTCATTACGTCGATCTTTCCTTGACTCCGTTTGGACCGACGTTAGCCGTTGGGTTGGACCGTTAAGGTCATCCTCGTCTTTTCTCACCTCGGCGCAATAGGCATTGTGAATTTCTTCCCAAGTGGTAGGGGTATTTCATGAGTCTTCTTAGTAACTTTCTGGTCGCTCTCGACCTATTCCTGTTCAACCCATTTTGGAAAGGTGCCACCGCCATCCCTTCTGATACATTTGGCAAACTCATTCGTACTCTATTAAACCGAGCAAGGAAGTCCCGGAGTCCCTCGCCAGGTAATTGTCTAACGGAGAATCATTCACCCTGGCCTCCGCCTTTTTAGCCCCGGCGTGGGCGGCGACGAACTTGTCGGCCATTTCTTCGAACGTTGTTATAGAGCGTGTTGGTAATCGTGAGTACCAGGTTAAGGCTCCCACGTTAGGGTCTCGCCGAACTTCTTCAGCAACACTGATGGTACTTGCTCTTTTGAGAGGTTGTTGCCTTTTACTGCTGTGATGTAATGAATGATGTGATCTTCGAGATTTGTCGTGCCGTCGTATATCTTCAAATATGGCGGCATCTTGAAGGTTTTGGTATGGCATGTGGGGTTGCCTCCTCACTGTATGGTGGCTCGACGAACCGGCCGACGTCCCATTTTGGTGGCAATTTCGGGGCGCCCGGTATCTTATCAACCCTTTCTTAATGCTCCCTCTTTTGGTCTCGGAGCGCTTTATTCTCGTTCTCCATTTCTTCCATTTTCTTTAAGATGGCGGCAAGTGCGTCGTTACCTGCATCAATAGCAGTGTGAGTGTTACCTGTTGGGTGAGCAGGTTCCTTGTCAGCGGTTGCTATAGTATCCGCTTGTGCGCTATTTCTATTCGCCCTTTGAACGGGTTTGTTGGGTATGTTGTTTAGAGTACTTGTCAACCATTCCTCCAGTAGTTTTTTTTACTGCTGGTGGTGCTTCCTCATGAGGGGGAGGGGGGGGGAGTCACTTTGCCTGGGTGTAGCACTCGTCGTCACATTCTCCTCGTTTTCTCTGTTATTCTCGTTGATGGTGTTCAAGAGGTTGGCGGTGATGCTCACTATTGCTTTTTGTCTTTCATCTCCTTTTCCTGCCATTGTTAGTTCATGCAAACGGGAAAAAGATGGTTGTTTTCGTTTTTTTTTTTTTGATCTAGAAGGAACTAAAAGTTTAACTAGAACTTCCCTACAGATGGCGCCAAATTGTTTGATCAAAAAGTGTTAAGATTTTTGTTAAACTAATAAATGAGGAAATAAAGGATAAAAAAAATAATAAATTCTAGATCTAAGATTGAAGGAGTCCGAAGGAATGAGACCGTGTTCAAGAGCAATATCAAGTATGTTTAATGATTGCCAATAAATGTAGTAGTAAAAGCATGCAATAAGTGTAGATAATGGCAATAAACGTAATTAGGAGGAATTTATCACCCAAATGTTAGATGACTTGGGTGATTCTTCTCCCTGACAGCAACGTGGAATAATGGAAAGTAAGGATGGATATGGAATTTTAGGATCTCGCCAACAAAGAGTGAACGAGACAAGCTTTTGTATATTCTTTATAGTCAACCCTTTACAATGTGCTCTTATCAAAAAAGTGAAGATCCCCCTCTGTTCTTTATCTCTTCCTATTTATAAGGGATATCGCTAAGAAACCCTAAGTAGAGAATATCCAATGGAATATTCCTTATGTTTACTACTAAATCAATCCTACTGTTGCTTCCTTTACTTGACCTCGGCAATAATCCCTCTTAAGACGACTCCTCGCCATTGTGCCGTGATCGACTATGCCCTCGACCATGTTTATTTGCAGTTATCAAGCCGCCTAAATTTGAACCAATACAGTCCTCTCTTTTGACCGACAAAAGGCAGAAAAAGGGTTCCCCGGCCTCTTCTTGAGGTGGAAAATTAACTGAATCCTGATTTTACATGATTTTGTGGTACTAACGTCTTTAGAATGATATACAAGTCGGTATGTCTGTTGTTGTTTAAGCATCATAGATTTGAAAGCATGCTCATTTCAGGTTGCTGATCGACTTGGAAAATATCCTGATCTTATGGAGGGTTTCAATGAATTTCTAGAGCATTGTGAACGAGTTGGTAAGTCTTGAAATTTCATGTCGATAAAATTGTTGTGTCATCTATCTATATTTATATCTACTAGTCTTAAGCTACGCGCATTGCACGTGTACCTAATTCGATCGATATAAACTTTTTTGAAATCATAGAAATATTTTCTTAAGAATTTATATTTTAGTCATAAAAGGAAATCTAAGAAAAAGTTAGCTAAGTGACAATTCAATTTTACCAGTTTTTTATACTTCCTTTTTAGTTTCAGTAAAAACACATAGCCTTGAAGATTTAAAACTTTTTCTGAAAATATTATTCAAAAGCTATTCAAAAATATATTGATTTAGTTAGATGAATAATATTATACTATAACTCATTTTTCTCTTATTTTCTAATTTCTTTCATTATCGATTCTCTTTTTAAGATTACAATTTATGTAGCCTATTAGCAGTTTGAAAATTGATTTTACATATAATAGTTTTAGTGTACGCACGTTGCGCGTGTTCCCTATCTTAGTAAGTAATTTTTGCTAATAAAATTACATATATATTTTTAGATTATTTTTAAATTATAAAATAAAGTATAAGCTTTTGAAATTAATTAAATATTAATCCTATATTGCTAACTCAACAAAGAAAATTTTTTGTTCCTCAATATTATTCAATATATTTACCTTAAATTTTGTTCTAATTTTTTAGTTTTATCAATTCAATATTACCGGTTTTTCATACTTCCTTTTTAGTTACAGTAAAAACACAGCCTTGAAGATTTAAAACTTTTTCTAAAAATATTATTCAAAAGCTATTCTCAAGTTTATGCGAGAAGGCACAAACATGTTTAATTAGCACTTTTGTTATGATTCTTTAAAGAAAATTCGTATAACATAAATTAAAAAATTTAATTTCATGTCTTCTCAATTTATCTCATTTCAAAGGTTTCAATGTTACTCTAGTAGTAAGGTTTTAGTTGCTGAGATAAAAAAAATATGATTTACATAATTTTGTCGAAACGCGCGTGGCAAAGAAAGCATTACTAAAACATAAAAGTTTAATAGGACGAACAATTACTATGAAAAGTTATTGAAATTCACTGCGTGTATATGTACATATTAACTTAAACATTTTATTTTTAATATATAATTCATTTTAAAGTTCTAAATATTTATACTTCCTATATAGTTTAAATAAAAAGGATTCAATAAGTATAAATTTAATTGATTTTAAAATCCTTATTTACTAAAATATTTAAATTATATCTCTATTCAATATAAAATTTACTTTTATAGAATAAAAAGTCAATCAACATTTTCTGTAGAGGTTTTGTGCTTTTATAATATAGATTTAGGCTTTTACGATGTATTATGATTAAATATGCTACCAAATAATTATTTTGATTGTTTCATTGAACATGGATTTATTATATTATATGACTAAAATAAGAAATTTTAAAATGCACATTTGATTGTTCCATGCTAAAACAACTTAATGCTGACGCTATTGTATAAAAAAAGTTTAATTTAATATGTGATTTCATGTCGTCATACTTTCATTAGTTAGAAATCAATTCAAAGCACCGAATAAAATGTTCTCATCTATTTTCAATTAGTATAATATATATAAGGTAAAATATTTATGTATTTTTTTCTTACCTAGTTTAATAAGGAAAGATTTAATATGCAAAGTTTTACTTGATTTCAACATCCTAAATATTAGGAAAGTACTTGATTACAATTTTATTCATTATGAAAGGTATTTAAAAGGGTAAAAAGGACGAACGATATTTCGCTAAGGGCCTTCGTACTTTTAATATAGTTTAGATGTAGATATAGATAGATAGATAAAAACTGACCTTAATTATGATTTTAGTAGATTTTACTTGTTTTAAAGAATTCGCTCTCTCTCTCACACACACGCGTATTTCATTTTTCAAGATTTTAATTTAGACTCTTTTTTTAAGACAAGCCATGATAATTAGGAGTAAATACAATGAGGATAATTGGGTAGAGTTTGGAGAATTACATTAATGAGGATTATGTGAATTTGGAGAATCAAAATAAGAGTGATCAAGATATGGAGAATTAAATTAAGAAAGAGCGCATTAAGACATTTATAGATTTCCTACCTTAATCTTGTAACTTTAAACAAAAACTTTTTATTCATGGTTTCCTTTTTGTTAATACATAGTACTATAAACCAAAAACGAGCTTTGAATGTCTTTTTGTATTACAAGTCTTCTACTTCTCTACCTTTACTCCCATTAGAACTCTACATTTAATGGGACAAAACCAACAATAATTGTATCAACTAAATTAAGATCTTGATTTTTAGAACTAGTCCAAGTACTCTTTTGGCCGGCTACCTTTGATAATTTCTACCTTAAAAGGTAGAGCTATATGGTCCCAAGGTATTCAATTGAATCTATTCCTAGATAATTAAACTGAAGACAACAATGTTCTATCTGTACATGTGTTGTTGAATCTTCTAAGGTACAAATATTGCTTTACCTCCTAAATTTGAACTTTATCTTATATTTTTTTTTTTTTGAATCTTTTATTAGAATTTTTAATTTCGTTACTATCCACTTCATCTTACCTGCTCAATTCAAGTCATGAATTCAAATGATATCAATGAGTGTGGTGATATAAATGAAATTTCTGTTATTACACTGTATTTGTAAAATAAATTCTGGAAATATAAATGAATATAAACAGTAATGAATATAAACAGAAATGACATAAACCAATTCGAGCCCACTGAATTCACAGTGTTTCCTTAAGGAATTTAATCCCCTCCTAGTACCCAAGGTTATGGATTATTTCCTCCCAGGATAGAACGAATTACACACTGGTGTAGTGGTACTTCAAACCCCAGTGTTTCAGCGAACACAAAGTTCGGTAGCAAATCACACTTACTTTTTGCTTTGTTTTGATGCTAAAAGTATGCAGAAGAAGGAGAGGAAACTCAGAAAATTGTAGTTAAAATTCTGGGCAGAATAGTATTGTATTTATAGCCAAAGTTGGGTCTCTTCAGAATGGCTGTTTATGCAAAACGCCCACAACATAAATGCCATTACATAAATAGCCATTTACTCAACAATAAAGAGGGAAAATAAAGAGGGAAAATTGAAGAGGGTAGTTACTTTTCTGTTACAAAACAGAAAAACGGATTGGATTTAATATTAATATTTAATATTAATATTTTGTTATTAAAACAAAATATTAATAACAAAAACCGAAGCCGAAGCCGAAGCCGAGCCGAGCGAGCGACGACGACGACGGCGCGAAGGCTTGCCTTCTTCTCAACTCTTTAAGAGCTAGAAGAAAAGCAATTGCTTATAAACCCATAAAAAACCTCTTCCTCTTCCAATATGGGACAATGCCCATTTGTCAAGGGAGGGGGAACTTAAAATTTCACTCAAAAATTTCATTTCCCTCCATTTCCCATTCACCCTCTTTTAAGTATTTAATATATTAATTAAATACCTTAAAAACCCAACAATCCCCCACATGAATGGGGAATGGCTATATCACGGAAGTATGCATGAAAAACTGTGTGATTCACAAGTAAGGATTAATTGCATCTGGATAAGTAGGTTTCCCTTTGAACTTTCCGTAGTGAACTTATGTCGNATATAAGGTAAATATTTATGTATTTTTTTCTTACCTAGTTTAATAAGGAAAGATTTAATATGCAAAGTTTTAATTGATTTCAATGTCCTAAATATTTGGAAAGTACTTGAATTACAATTTTATCCATTATGAAAGGTATTTTAAAAGGGTAAAAAAGGCGAACGACATTTTGCTAAGGGCCTTCGTGCTTTTAATATAGTATAGATAGATGATGAATTTTGTAAAAGTGTGATTCCTGTTGAAGCATATACTCGGGGGTGGATAATATTGTTTTACTAATTAGTTAATTTAGAAACTTAATTATTTGCTTACATGGAAAATACTTTATTTTCTTGTTGATTCGAATGGTTAACGCTAGCTCATATCAAATTTCAAGTATTTAGTAATTATTATTTTATCCAATCATATTCTATTTTAAATAGTAAAAAAATGATCAATATATATACTGAGATTAATTAATGTACTTGTTGGTTCGAAAATTAGATCATGAATAGTGAAATATGCAAACTAATAACCATTAAATAATTAGCATATATATTTTCTCATGTTCTTTCTCTTATTACTCCATTTTTAGTGATCATCAAGTCGTAGCAAATTTTAATTATATTTAATCTTTGTATTTTAAGATTAACATCTTTATGCTGCAAAATTATTGTATGGTTTTTTAGATTTAGATAGGCAAAGAGGTTTTAAGAATCTATTTTCAGCATAATCCTATAAGCAAAGAGGTTTTAAGAAATTCTTTCGAGCATAAACCTAGTTTACCCTTATAATGACGTGGACGAAATTCCTTGACCAAGTCAAATTTGATAAGGAAAATAATGAATATAGTAAATTGAATATCCTACGTGCAATAGTAGTAGACGGCTCAAACTCAAATTAAGAACTATTAATAAGACAAAGTTTATTTGAATCAAGTACTAAAAATTAGGAAAATAAGTAAATGACTATATTGTCTAGTGTAAGATTATATTTTTAAAGGGCAAAAAAGACGAATTATAAATATATAGATATAGATAGATACTAAAGCACGAAGTCCTAGCAATGTGTCTTCTTAAACTCCTTCTAGAATTGGGGCTCTTTATACTTTATATAACTATAAGTAATCATATATATATATATATATATAGGACTAACCCCTGCTGTCGAATACCCAACTAGCCTTGAAGATCTCTTGGGCCTTCAGCTCTAATTCTCATCGGTAGAATTCCGTCCTTAACGCGAAGGGAGTTGATATTTGCAGTTCACTTATCTAGACAGGTTTGAATGCGACGAATTTCAACGAAACTTATGCATATATCTAACAAACTTAAGTTAATTGCTTATATTTGCATGTTTTATTATTTTTGAATTTAAATTATGTGAATAGATAACAACTGAAACTTGCATATTATGTTAGCTTTTGTAATTTATCAATCCCATTGGTTAATATATCACAACTGTTATAGGTGAACAAAAGAACCTCCTTGTAATCACTCAAAAAATTAATTTTGATATCACTTTTAAAGTAACTCTATCCCATTTTTCTGTATTTTTCAATGGTATATGCATTAATTTATTGTCTTCGCATAATATTTTTTAACAATTAACACGAGATGATACTATGAAATGTTGTTTGATCTTTTAACATGTATTTTTTCATAATAAAGTTCACAGAATTTAAAGATGTATTATTGGTAGTGATGAGTACATGAATTTGATAACTGAAATAGACACATGTTAACTTGTGAAACTGAAGTGAGAAAATTATAAAATTAGAATTTTTTGAAGTTAAATATAATAATTGATAGTTAAGAATGTCTGTTTTGCAGTTTCTTCCTTTATTAATTTAGTTATATAGGTTCAATACTCACTATTTCATGACACTATTATTTTATAACTCCAAATTTAATTTTTAATATAATATTTATGTGATCTTTTTAAAAAGAATTTATATTCATTGACATAGGGTACACGCGTTAAGACTAGATGATATATATCATTGGTTTCTGCTTTGCAGTTGGATTTCTAGCAGGTGTTATGAGCAAGAGTAAGTCTTATATATCCAAATTAGTAAAGGGAGAGAAAGACAGAGAGCCTAAAAAAGAAGAAAAAGAGGCTCCTCCAAAGAGAAGTGAAGTTGAAGAATCTATCATCTTTGTGAAGAAAGTAAAGGTTATTCTCAATCTCCTGCCTTCTGATTTCAATAAATTGTCTGCCCCTTTTTTTCTTGTACTAGTCACTATCTACATGCATTGCAGGTATATCTCATGATAATTTTTAGTACAAAATTTGTATCCAAAGCAATAATATTTTAAGTGATCATCTTGTAAAGTTAGGAAGGGGAGCTTGGCGTAACTGGTAAAGTTGTTGTCATGTGACCAAGAGGTCATGGGTTCGAGCCGTGGAAACAACCTCTTGCAGAAATGCAGTGTAAGGCTACGTACAATAGACCCTTGTGGTCCGGCCCTTCCCCGGACCCTGCGCAATGCGGGAGCCAAGTGGACCGAGCTACCCTTTATCTTGTAAAGTTAACATAGAGACAGTGGTGGAGCTAGAGACCGAGGCGCGGGTTTGACAAAACCTAGTAACTTTGGTCAAAACTCTATATTTGTCTATGTTCAAATTATTTTAAAATTCAGTAACTTAAAAAGGCTAAAATCCTGAACCCAGAAACGTCAGTTTCTGGCTCCACCTCAGCATAGAGACTTAAAAAACAAGAAAATTGTGTATTTTAAAATGTTTCTTGTTTCTAATGCGAACTTGGAGTATTTGAATAAAGACTTGGGAACTTAAGTCCTAACTTAATTTGTTGGTTTATCACTTCATATAGGAACGTTTCAAAAATGATGATCATGTGTACGACTCGTTCCTAGAAATTTTGAAGAAGTACAGGGAGGAGCACAAGACCATATATGAAGTTTACCATGAGGTGATGAAACTTCTTTTAATTTGGATACATAAATATTATAGATGATCTTCATTTTAATTTCTCACTATTTCTTTTGTTATGTGTAGGTTGCCATGCTTTTCATTGACCATCCAGATTTGCTTAATGATTTCACCAAATTTTTGCCAGATTCTTCAGCTATTTCCATGCTTAAGCAATATCTTGATGAGTTAACCGCCATCCTTAGTTCGTTATAATGCCTATATATTGCCATGACTAAAGCTTGTTTACGAGTTCTACTTGATTTCACAAATAATTTGGAACCCCACACCCCCACCCCCACCCCACCCCCCCACCCACCCTTTTTTTTTTTTTTTTGGTTTGAGAACTCTTAGGGAGATTTGCTGGTTGCTGGGCTTTGTCCTGTTTTAAATAAGTAGAGATTTAGTATTATTAGCAATAAATATTAAACTCATGGTTGGTTTCTTGAATCATGTCATCTTTTCTTCTAGCAAATCTTTCTTTCATTCTTTTTTTTCACTTATAGCTAGCTTGCAGTTGCTATCTTAGCCATTTCCCTTGCCTTCTTGAACGCAAAATCACTTGTGATTGAGATGCGGCAAAAATGCAGAGATAAGCTTACAAAAAGTAATGGACCGGTGCAGCACCCAAATTAGTTATTACTATCCGCTGCTATAGTGTTTGAGCAAAGAAAGATTGTTGAAAAACCAAATGCAAATCTAACAAATTTAAAATTTAGAACAATGACAAAAATCATTTTTGAAGAGCATTGCAGCTGGTGACCTTGACGTCCAACTTAAAACTAATCAATTTATAATGAACTCTTATATTACAGTATAGAATACATTATGACATGCTTACCCCAACATATTAAAGCAGAACCCAACTTCTTTGAATTGAAGTGTCGTTGTATATAATCTAATAAAAAGCAGATTGCCTGTAAATAGTATTAATAATCGTAGAGGTGGACCTTGAAAGCATCTGCTCACATTTTTTTCCCACCACCCCCTTTAAGTAACGATACTAATAGAAAATAGAGAATTCCCTGGGAATTTCTGTAGTAAATGGAATAGTGATACATGTTTATACATTGAGACATGTAAAATTGAAAGAATTTGGCTCTAGCTTAAAACTTTGAAACTATACCAAATCATACTCGGCAACTGAAGCGTGGAAGAGAAGAGCCGAAAAAGGCGAAACCTCTCTTTTCAAAAGAAAGTGACCTGCCAAAAAATATTGCAATAGAAAACTCTTTAGCGGAAATAGTTTCCTGGCATTGAAACTCTTTCAGCCGATTCGCGGCAAAACATTACCTTGTGTTTCCAAAGCTGGAACCTGAAGAATAAAACTTGTTGAAATCAAAGTAATGACTTTTGCCCAAGAGTTAACAGCTTTGGCCCAGAAAAAAAAAAAGAATATGCACCTCTTTAATGATGCTCGATCGAGATACTATTAAGTTCAATATTGAACAAATTCAGAAAGCTTTCCATTATTTTGTTAGTTATTGAAATTACATTTCGAGATATGCTCGCCATATGAAATTTTCATTGGCGAAAACTTTGATATTTAACACGTCAGGAAATGGCCTGGCATATGATAGTGCAACTGGAACTGGGGCAGCGGAGGTAGCGCCAGTATTGGTAGTATCAGTAGTATTTTCAGCATCAGTGGTGTTTGCCATAGTTTCTTAGATTGTAGTAATTGAGACTTGAGAGCAAGAATTTCACACTACTAGAAATCCGGAAAAAAGTGACCACAAAAAGCGACCAAAGTTGGTCGCTTACGGGTCAAAAAGCGACCAAAAAGCGACCAAACAGGACTGGTCGATATTTTGCTGGTCCCTTTACCTTAGGGATCAAAGTTGGTCGCTAATTAGCGACCAACTTTGGTCTCTAAGGTAAAAGGACCAAATATTCCGGGTAAACAATATAGCGACCAACTTTGGTCTGTAAACAAAATATTATATTTTAAAATCTGAAAAATAGAGACCAAAGTTGGTCGCTATTTTTTTAATTTCTTTAATTTTTTTAAACATAAGCAACCAACATTGGTAGCTAATTTCAAGAATTTAATTATTTCTTAAACATAAGCGACCATAATTGATCGCTATTTTCCAGGAATTTTTTTTTATTAGACTAGCGACCATGAGAAATCTGGGTTAGTTAGCAACCAACCTTGGTCGCTATTGCCCAGAAAATTAATTTTTTAAATGGAAAAGCGACCAACAAGCGACCAAAGTTGGTCGCTTTTCTTGGTATAATTTTGGCAGAAACTGCCTGTTTTGGTAGCTACACCACCTGCCAGCATACCAAATCCCTATTACAAGCAACAACAACAACAATACCAACAATAAAACCAACAACAACACAACAACAACAACAACAACACAACAACAACAACAACACAACAACAACATTAACAATAACATTAACAACAACATTAAAACCAACAAAGTATAAAGTTCAATAGAACTAACACATTAAGCTAACCAAACTAAGTTAACTGTTATTACAAGCCCATTCGAAAACCGATTCTATTTGTCTAGTTCAAAGTGTATAAAAGTCAAGGATTGTTTTGTACATCATTATCATTACCGTCTGATGAACTTTCATCATCAAAACAATATCCAGAAGGGTGTACTTGTCGAGGACGGGAAGAACGATTACGGGGAGGACGGGAGGAACGAGCACTTGGAGGACGGGAGGAATGAGCACGGGGAAGGGGAGCCTCTGGCGATGACTCACGAGACCGGGGAATCGGAAAAACGCCAGAAGCAAGGAGAGATTTGAGCTGCTCTTGCATGCCTTGGCACTGAGCTTGCATGCCAATGTACTGAGCATCTCTAAGCTTTTCTCTTTCCTTGGCCGCTTCTAGCTCGGATGTGAGCTTTGTCACAGTCTCCCGCATAGCGGAGAGGCTCTCCCCATCAAGTAGCTCGGCTTGCGAGGAAGTCCCTATTCCTTGAATTCTACACTTATAGCGATGGAATTTCTTAGTAGGAAGCCCGTATACCTTCCCCCATTTTGGACCGCCAGCAGCCTCCGTCCACATTCTTTCAGCATCCTCGTCCGAAGGTTGGATTGGCTCGCCTGACTCATTAGGTGGCTGACTGCGTATGAATTCCTGCAGTTCAATTGTGAAGCGACCCTATAAGAAAAATTACATTGAATTAGTATTTCAAAATTTATATAAAAGTAAATCAAAATACTTAATGAAAAGTGAAAACTTACATGTACAGTCGAGGCTCGGCCCTCGACCCACCTTTCTTGATCCGTCTCTTTCTTCTTCTTTACAATATGAGTCTCCTTGAATAGCTCATCTTGGTTCATCGGACGCCCCAACTTATTTTCCTGAAAACTCATAAATTTTAGTTAATAAACAGAATAGATATACTTTGAAAATTAAAATAAATTAAGCAATTATGTACCGTTCTTCTTTCTATTGTCCCTAGGCTGATCGCACCTCCAGTGTGCAAGGATCCTCCCTTCTCAGATGCGCGAGCTTTCTTTCCTTTTTCGCTCTTCTCTAAGAACTTTGCGGTAAGCCATTGCCTTTGCAAATCCTCCCATAAATTCTGAAGGAACCAGTCAGGCTTCTGGTTCAACTTTCTAGCTTTGGAGAACAATACGACAACCGCTTGCGAGCTTTGAGATGAAAATTTGCAGCCACTTCCGCGCTATAGCGGTGTTCCCATACACACTTGCTCTGTATTTCAAAAGTTAAGTATTATATGGAAATATCATAACTATAAATAATTATACTTCTTAAAAGAACATTTATGCCTTAAATTGATTGAAAATTTGCTCCTTCAGCGAGAATGAGAATTCACTCCAAGTCGCATAAGGGCCATCATAAAGCTTTCTGGTGGCTTTGGTGATTATCCTCGTAGTAATATTACTAGGGATGAACCTGTAATTTAATTAAAAAATACATTAATATCTTAGTATAAACTGTACAGAACAATAAACGTAAAAATAACAAATAACTCTTACCTATCACCCTCAGGGACTATGATGATCCTGCCATATTGATTATAATACACCTCCTCGTCATCTTCAGCATCAACGTCCGAAGCATGTATATCAGAGGCATGTGTGGAAGGTGTAGGGGGCTCAGAGCTAGCATCTCGCAGGTGAAGGCTTGAAATAGATGGAGTCCCTGATGAAGATGGATGCGATCCCTATGACTGCGACATAGCTGGATGGACCGCAAGTGGCTGTGACACTGATAGCTGTGACCCGAGTGGCTGTGACCTGAGTGGCTGTGACACTGATGGCTGTGATCCATGTGGATGTGACATGGATCGATGCGATCCATGCGATGCAGATGGCTGCGATCCACGTAGTCGTGAGGAAGGTGGACTGTTTGTCGGACGAATAGTCCTATGGCCCCTGTGACGAAAGACCTGGTGTCTGCACGAAGGTGTAGGGCTCATGATGCTGTGGCAGCTCAGAATAGCCCTGGGGTGGAGGCAAAGACATAGGCATAGGCATAGGCATCTCTGAAGAGGGTGGAAAAGATTGAGTATTATCTTCTACTCTCCTCTTTGGTTTCCTAGCCTTTTCTCAACCCCGAGAACAAGTAGGGTCATTGTTACCTCGACCCTTGCCTGTCATCTGCATAATATAATACATATTTATATTGAAACGTATAAAGAAACTAGCCATAAACGAGAGTTATTAAAGAAACCAACTTTTTAAAGCTCATAGACGTATTGTTCCTCGTCCGAGAATTCTTTTTCCTCATTAGTTTGAGCTTCATCAGTTGATTCCTCTTCCTCATTTTCTATAATTCTTACTTCATTTATATCAACTTCTTCCAATATGTGTTCAGGATGTTCCAAATCATTTTCTAAAACTTCGTCCACAATTTGGTGAACACTAGAGATATCGTTTTGATATACAACATCTAACACATTCTCGACTTCCACCGTACCTACAGGCTTAGTTTTTATAACAACCCACCAATCGGACTTATTCTGTCGCAATGGATAAGGAGCATAATACACTTGCCTAACATTATGTGTAATTATGAAAGGATCATAGTGATCATACTCCCTCGTATGATTAACCTCAATTATGTTGTATTGATTGTGTACTCTTGTACCTCTTGTTGGATTTGGATCAAACCACTTGCATCTAAAGAGTATCAATTTCTTAAATGGCCAACCTGTATATTCTAGTTCTATTATTTCTTTGAGCACACCATAATAATCAATATCTCCAACTTGGTTGCC